GTTTTTTTTTTTTTTTTTTTCTTTTAAGTTAAAATTTGGAAGTGTTAGATCCTCTGTCAGGTTATTCTGACTGTATCTTCCTATCCCAGCAGCAACCTTTCCCCTGATTTCTTGTCCTGCAGTCACAGGGACTGGGGACAAGAAATTAGGTGTATAATGGGGATATGGACAGCAATTAACCTGTTTTGCTGCAGTTTGGCTTTAATGTCGGTGACCACTCTAGTAAGCCTTCCAATGGATCTAAATCCTAAATGAGTGACATTTAGTTTCCTAAAGCATTATGTATCATACACAACTGATATTTTTTTCACCCTTTTTTGTATCTCTCAGTGCTTTGATCCCCTACAGCCTTTTTCAGCCACATGCTGAATAAAATTGGGAGATAGTTTGTCACCCCTTAACAAGGTCCTTTATGGCAGGATCACTAAGTATTATTTTAATGAAAGCTGCAGATTTAATCAAATGGAAAACTGCTTTTGGAAATACATGTCAAAGCTGGTAAGAGATTTTAGTGATTGGGGTTAGCTTTACTTTAATATGTATTGTGGATGAAACAACCCATTGCTCGCAATGCCCTTTGTTCCAACAATGAACACACCAACATCCACATATGCTGTGTTTGTACATCACACCACAAATGTTGGAATGTTTTTTGTAATTTTTTCCTTTAATGTACATTGCAACTTTGCATGTTCAGCTGGAAATCCTTACTAACTATTTGTCTGTACAGTAGTCTGGCCATGTCCATAGACTGGTTGATCAGCGACCCGTTTCTCTTGGCCTGCCTTGTTTCTGTGATTCAAAGCTTAACTGGTACTCCTGGGAGCTGTGATTGGAGAGGAATTTATGACTAGGAAACTATAGTGTAGACTTAATTCTATTTCTATTAACTGCAGTCAGTGCGCACAGAGGAGGTACAGTAGGAAAAAAAGATCATACAGCAGTAGATGGTGGGTAGTCTGGGATATCAAGAGTTGGATGAGTTGTCAACAAAAGGTAGTAGTGTGGAACTGTGTATGTATGTATATAAGGCAGACAGATGTGACCGTCACATCTTTCTGCCTTGAGGAAGGGACCCTGCGCGGCCCTGAAACGTCGGTTTATTTGGATGTCTGTGACGCTTTCTGTCCAATAAAAGGGACATATTTATCTTTACTACTGAGTGCTGGTGATTTCCTGACTTCACTTTGGACAAATGTCACGTTACTTCATGTCACATCTAGGGCCTGCTTTGGATTAACTTAAGGTTTCTTAAACCCTCCTCTCACCCAAGTATCATACTTCCTTTAACTTGGTTCTGGTGGCCCTGTTGCACTTCCTGTGGTGCTCTAAAAAGTCAATTTTTCCTTTTTCTTTTGGTGTTGTTCAAAGACTTTGTCCTCCTACACCTTCCTACTAGTCCACCACTATAACAGGTGACTTTACTGGCCACTAGAGAGGTACAGGAGGGGACAGGCCAACTGGTCAATTTGACACCCAGAAGTGCCCTCCAGAAGTGCTTTCAAAATTCTACTGAGGTATATTTTAACCCAAACCTGGGGTGTACATATAAATCATTGTAGTTTGTAGCGGCTGGCAGTGTGAACTGTGACAATATGTGTCATTGATCTTAAAGTGACTGTGCCGCCCCAATAGGGGCATAGAATATGAGATGCATAGCCTCAGTTAATATTAGCATTGTTATATAGGTTAGAATTTATATAGTGTGATTTGCCTAACTATTTTCTCATAGCTAAATTCATGTGTTATCCTATGCTGCCATCTAGTGGCCTTTTGTTGTAACAAACATGTTTTCTGTAATTATTCCTCATGTGACGATGTATTTCCCCCTAGTGTACGCCCCTTCCTTCTTCCTGTGTGCAGTACTTCCTGTGTCATGGCCACAGTTAGAAGCCACATGTAACAAGGACACACATGTAATCTGCACAGTACGTAGGAAAGGCATCATTTTCTGACCGCACAATACTATAACCGTTCAACTGCTGTTCCTATCATCTGCTGTAACCTGATGTTAAAGAATAAACACCTCTTTTGAATGAATCGGTATTGACGAGTTCAGCTATCTGACGAGGATTGTCCGCAGTGAGTATATCTGCTTATACAGGCCAGGCATAGAGGTCTCAGCAAGGGATATATTTCGCTATCACAACAATCGGAGTCAGAATAGTGACATTAAAGGCTCCCCTCCCACCCGATGTTAGTGTCAGGACTTACTTTACATGATGCCCTTTTATTCGATCATCTTCTTCTTTCCTGTCCTTTTCAGCTGTCCCTCCAGCGCTGGTGTGGGTCGCCGATCCAGCGCTGACTCCTCTGTCCTCCTATCCTCTGATAACCCACGGTGTCTGTGTGGGTGCACGCTGCTCCATAGACTTGCCTTGTGTCTCTCCTCGTCTGCCGGCCGAACATCTGAACTGCGCATGCGCCCGCCCCAAGATCCTTTGCGGGCGCCCGAGACTCTTCAGATGTTCGGACGGGAGCGCGCGGTGAAGACACAGGTAAGTTTAAACCTGTTTCAAAAGGGTTTTTTTTTTTAAAGTTTGTTTTTGCATATATCTACTGCTTGCTAGCAGTAGATATATGCAAAAAAATTTGAGGGTTTAATAACCCTTTAACTTATGAAGTATGTATCAAGGCCAAGCAGCAGGAGAGCTGCCAGCATAGTCAGTACACTTCTTTAAACTCTAGCTTCATTAAACGTCTTTGTAGGACCACAAACCACCAGCCCTCCTGTAAGGTCTTAACAGAGGTGAAACTCTGGGATTTGTCACTGCATTAGACATAAAGGGTTAATTTCAGTCTGTAGCATATGTTCAGAGGGCAATAAATCTACACTTAAATAGATCAGCAAATGTTTTCTGACTGCACAGAGGGGGATCTGTGACCAAATGATCCTGAGGTCTCAATTCAGCCCTTCTATACTGGAAAGCCTACAGTTTACTTTTCCTAATCTGCCCCCCTCTACAATGGGGCCCCCATTCTAACCCAGACCCCATGGCAGCCAGGTGGACTGCTATGGCTATTGTTAGGTCACTGACCTCAACTCAAAAAGCAAATATTTGCTGTGTTATAGGGGAACATTTAAAATTGTTAAAGTTGAACAAGCAAGTCATATTTGGGTACTTACCATGCTGGCATTGAAAAATAAATTTCAAGCTGAACTCCAGGCACAAAACCTTTCATCAAGATATATTCCTCAGTAGCCCTATAGGATATAAATCACCAAATGCCTTTGCAAACAGTTGTTGCTAGGAATGCACCAATACCGTTTTTTCGGTATCGAGTGGCGATATTTATATTTTGTTACTCGCTGATACCGAGTACTGATACCAGTATTTCCACTAGCATGGCACCGGCTTCCAGGGCAATCAGGAAGCCGGGCGGCGTGTCATTACCTGCTGCCCGGCTTCTTGATTGGCTGGGAAACCGGCTCCATGCTATTTGGCTGGCTCGAGCTTCCTGACCAATCCGCATCGAGCCAACCAAAGCGCATAGAGCTGGCTTCCCGGCCAATCATGAAGCTGGGCGGAGAGTCCTTACCCGCCCGGCTTCCTGAGTGGCCAGGAAGCTGGCTCCATGTTCCCTTGTGGCACTGCCAGTCAGAGGAAATTTTCCTCTGACCGGAACTTCTGGTATTGGGGAAGCAATCGGAGCACTCGCCCAAATACTCGGTGTCGGTGCATTGGTAGTTGTTGCATTATATAAGTAGTGAAAACATCAACACTGTGCAGCACATAGCCTGAGCAGAGCTGTGGGAAGGGCCCAACAAAATAAATTTTCTAGAGCTATTTTTATACCCATGTATAGTGTTTTTATTCACTGTGGAAAAATTCCCAAATGCTGCATTTCAGGGGAATTAATCCCTCCCCAGGTTTCCACTCATCCCTTGAACAAAGTTCCTAAAGTAAAGTGCAACACTATACGTGTACAGTTCCTTTTAAGGGAGGACTTGCAATTGTGAGTTGTGGTAATGCGTGCTAAAAAGCATATTGTAACATGCTTTACCCCAAGCATATATGGGTTGCACCCCATTTTATATATAAACTGTGTGTGCTGTGGTGCGCTGCATTGTCAAAAAAAAAAGCAGTTACATCTCTTTTGTGCGCTGAGATGCGCTTCCAACTCATTCAACATAAATGGCTTTCGTTGATACAGAGTCACACTGGTGTAACGTATGAATGATGTGATGCAAAAGCGTGCTATTTTGTGAGTGTTCATTTAATGTGTGAAAAGTGTGAACTGTTAATGAGGCTCCAAACATGCCAAGCAAGACACGTTGAAAGCTTGAAAAAGTGCATGAGCTTCTTTATTGCATGTAGGGCACCCCATTGAAATGAATGCGACAGATGTGCAACATACAAACACCATGCGCAAATTTGCACTTTACTAGTGTGAATGAGGTATATATTCACACATAGGTGTCAGTGAGCCCTAATGGGAGTGAAAAACCAAGATCCAAGCACTGAAGAGATAAGTGTTTTTTTTTTCTTTTGCCCAAGCAGTTTTTACTGACCTAGAATATTGAGTGTATGTTTTATATAATGCCCGATTCATAGGCATTCCAGCAAAGCCCCATGCTGGTGGTAGTGATGCTGGTGTCCTGTGGGAGGCGCCTGTCCTCCATCAGCTGTATATCAGCTTCCACTTAAGACTCCTCATCCAGATCAGCAGGATGTCTGCGCTGTGCTACTGACAAGTCCAGCATTCAGCAAGGAGCTCTCAGTCTGCCAGCTGCCGGACAGGAATGGTACTCAGCTCAGCCCAGCCCAGGACAGGACTGTCTGACACGGATTATCTGATCCAGGACCTTGCAGAGCTGGAATTATAACTTGTACCCTGCACACACCTGGGTTCATGGAGCAGAGAATACTCCTCCTATTGGGGCTTCTGGTCACATCCAACACAGGTAAAATGCCCCCTGGGCTAGCACAGCCTGGCACTGAACAATCCAGGTGGAACTAGACTGAAAGTTTGCTTTACTTTCGCTAATGGGAGGGAACTATAAGTGTCAGCATGCCTGAACTTCTGGAAACAGGCTAGGCTAGTCCCTCCCTCTACTGTATGACTGACTGCAAGTCCCAGCATGCCTCCTAGATGGTATGTGGTTGGACTGTTTTTTGATTTATTGGGTTCAGTTTGTAGAGGAGAATTTTACAAGAAGTGTGGCTTTTTAATAGCAGATTCTTACATTTCTTGGGAATCTGGAAATGTGTTTTAGATAGAAGCAGCCTAGAGTGTTTCTCCCATTGTCATTTGAAATCTTGCTGCTACTTTTATTATGATGATGATTATTATTATTATTATCAAGGAACACCAAGCTTTGTGCATCACTGTCTGCCCCAGAGGAGCTTACACTTCATTTTCCTTCCCACAATCATAGGGATGTCATAGATGAATATTAATATTTGTCCAACTCTAGAAGTTTGCCCTACGAATGGTTAGTTTCAACGGATCGAACAAACTGGTTTTCTGACAGAAGTGAAAGTCCTTCTTGGCTATTGAGCATACCTCTTGAGAGATATAATAGGTGTGAGTTATTGAATACAGTTCAGTTGCTGTGATATTTGCTACATCATAAATGCTTCCGATTCCAAATCATGAATGATTTTCAGAAGACTTCTTTGACTTTCAAATAGCCATTGTTTCGCGTTCTGATGATTTTTAACCACTTTCCGTCCGGAGCAGTTTCTTAATTTGTGCACACGCATGATAAAATTAGAATTTCTGGCTAGAAAACAGCCTAAAAGCCCTAAACAATGTATCTTTTTTTTTTTTTTCCTGAAAGCAGAGGCCCTGTAGAATATACAAATGTTAGTTGCAATGTTTATGTGACACGGTATTTACGCAAATGTTTATCAAACCAATATTTGTTTGGGGAAAAAAAAACCCTCACAGAAACAGAATATATCACCATTTTTTTTTTTGTAAGATATTAAAGATAGGCTCTCTAGCCACCCAAAAGCGTCTGTGTGTGTGTGTGTGTGTGTGTGTGTGTGTGTGTGTGTGTGTGTGTGTGTGTGTGTGTGTGACTGCTAGGTGTACAAACGGTACCAAGACCATGGCTGCTGTTACTGCTGGCGTGATCTTGGTATAACTGCGTCAGGACTGCACTTCGGTGGTCCTGAAGTGGTTAAAATGTTTTTCTTGTTGAATCTTTGTCCAGTTGGATGAAGTATGGTTTAGTCCATTAGCAATCGTGCACACACCAAGGGTCAGGGCCAATTTACTGCGTTTTTATGTCTTTTTTTTTTTTTTTTCACATAAACACATAGATGAAGTTTATGTAAATAGTCCAAATTTGTTGTGTAATTTTGAAGACATTTCACTACTCATCCAAGTCATGTCCTCCGCTCTAAGTGTCTTTAGCATTACAGACAATTTCAGCTTGAACGTGCCTGACTACTACTACGTATAACAGGTTCTGGATGAATGAGAACTTTCTCAGACCATATTCTCAATGTGTTAGGCTCCATTCACACATGGCGGCATGAAAATGCACAAACTTTAACATACGCATGGATTCTACCTTTTGCAGCTATTACTATAAAAGTGCTTTAGACTTTTTTGCGGGGCGCGCGTTTTCGCACCACACGGATGCCGCCCAAGTGTGAACATTGTACATTGAAATGTATTAGCTTTTTACGTTTTTAGAGTGTTTTCGCACAGGAAACCTCTGATGTTTGACCAGAGCATTAATGTTTGAAAACCCTAATTTCTGTTTTATGATTTGTATTTTACATGTACATGGCATCAGCAGCCATATTTGCTCATTACACACGCAGTGGCTGTGCTTTACTGCTCCTTCTCACAATGCAAGGTTGACCCATTGAAAACAATGCTCTCCCTGTGCGTCTGATATCTTAACAGCTGTTAAGCAGAGCAATACATTGCTTAAATTTTACACAATTCCAGCGGAATCTGCCTAAATTTGAGCTGTAGGTGGCCAGCTCGACAAAACTCGATTTTTCTATAAAATTTTGTCAAAGGAGCCGGGGAATAACTGTCAGCCAAAAAATGACTGCAACCAATCCGATGCAATCCGGTATTCATTAGCTGCAGGTCCTGCCATTTGCTGAATACAATAACCAGCAGGGGGGATTTAGTGTCGAGGGGGGGGGGTGGGGGGAAGTGAGCCAATGATTTAATTCATTCAGCCGGTGGGGCAGAATGAGAGAAAATCTAAAGGTGTACGACTAGCTTAAAAAAAAACAAATCTGCAAGGGTCAAGCCCTGTGATGCGACACCTAGACACCAGCAAATGTGTGTGATAGTCACTGTAACCATTATATGTGTTTAGTATCATCATCCCAGTTATAGAGATTGAGGTTGGCCATGTATAGATGATATTATAATTCTATGTTCAATTTCTGTCTGTGGATGCAGCAAAGTTCAACTGTAACTATGGACGCCCAATTACACAATGAAGTTACCTAGAGAGCCATTGGTTCCTTAAATTACAAGCAGTTGTACAACTTTACCACTCATGTAGTTTCAATAAAGCTGTCTGCAAATTACTGACCCACATTATATATATATATATATATAGCTAGTTATGTGATTAGGAAGATTGTAGGTCTTGGGTCAAGGCTTTTACTAAACACAGGTCAGGACACTATCTGCATGCAGTTTGCATGTTCTCACTCTGCTTGCATGGGTTTTTTCCCCACACCAAAGACATGCTGGTAGTTTATTTGGCTCCTGTCTAAATTGGCCCCTAGTATATGTATGTGTGTGTGTATGTATGTATGTTAGATAGGCACCTTAGATTGAGGACAGGGACTGATGTAAATTATTATTGGTATTTATATAGATTGTAAGCCCTCTGGGGCAGGGCCCTCCTTACTACCTTGTCTTGAATTGTATTGTGATTGTAATGTCATCCTTATATTGTAATGCGCTGCACAAACTGTTGACGTTATATAAATCCTGTATAATAATAATAATATATAGTGCTAACAATTTTATGCAGCTCTCTACACAGTGCACATTCACATCAGTCCCTACCCTCAAGGTGCTTACAATCTAAGGTCCCCATATCGCATGCATATATACGAGGGCCAATTTAGACAGGAGCCAATTAACCCACTAGCATGTCTTTGGCGTGTGGTAGGAAACAGGAGTACCTGGAGGAAACCCACGCAAGCACAGGGAGAACATGCAAACTCTTAGTAGATGGTGACCTGGCTGGGATTCAAATCAAGGACCCCTAGTGCTACAAAGCAGAAACGCTAATGAATGGTAAGTAAAGTGCTGAGTAAATTGACTGCACTATATAAATACCTGTAATATATAAACACAAAAAAAGCAGCAAGCACAGCACCACTGTGCATTACCTCGTTCTACCATAGGTTTACATCTTAAAGTGGCACAGTATGAGTTTTAATAACATTGGAAATACGGTGCTGATAGGTGCACTAATTCAGTGTTTTTGGCCCAAAGGAGTAAATACTGTAGTAATGTTTTCTATTGAAGTTGATCTAAATTATATAATTTTTATTTGCTTTTTACATTTCCTCCGAAAAATGTCTGTTAACATGAATAACCTGTGTTCTTGTACTGCTGTGCCTAATAGTGGCACATATTACATCTGTGCCTGTGTGCATGAGCCCTAAGCTCCCTTTGAACCTGTCAGATACTTTGATTGGGGTACCAGTTAGGTATGGTTGCACATGAGTGTTGAACTGCCTTTTAAAAAATACCTTGTCCATATAGCAGTTTCATTATTTAGAAAAGGCGTTCAGTCTATTACCAATTTTACACACACAATAAAAATGATCTGTCGCCGAGTTCTTGTCCATATAGCAGTTCAATCATTTAGATAAAGCAACATGTCTTCACCAGATCTCAATTTAAGCAGTAAAGAATTTGCTCCTATTTTCAGCCATGTAAAAGAATACTCCACAGCAGGCAGAGCTCTGATCCCATGCAGCTTTCTGTTAGTCACATAGTTGAAATTGCTACAATAACCAATTATTTGCCTACTGCTAGTTATGTATAGATGGCAGCCTAAATATAATTCTATTTATTGTTTACAGGGAAACCGTTGGTTTTGGGTCACGTGTGTGTGTGTGTGTGTGTGTGTGTGTGTGTGTGTGTGTGTGTGTGTGTATATACATTTCCTAAAGATACTTTTTCTAAAAAGACATCACAGCAAAAGCTGTTTGCCTTCACACTCAGCTTCATCACCTCCTTTTTTTTTTTATCAGTACATCACCCAATCATATCATTTCTAATAGACTCTTGAAGACTGTTGCCCATCATCTTTTATCTGTCAGGGATTCCAGAGCTGAGTCCTCCACATCTGAATTCTCAGCTTCCGCACCTACCATTGCCGATAAAATGGAGTATTGGTTTCACTGTTGGTAATTTTTTTTTCAATTTTCATTCTAAAAATTCAGCAGGAGAAATGTAATCTTTGAGAAACTGTGCACTCCTATAGAGCAAGATAACTGAAATAGAAATTTTTGGATGGATGAACAAAAATAGTGTTATTTACTTTACAACCTTGGTAAACCTTTTAGGTATTTACATGTTGTCACTTCCACAAATGCAAAAAAACATGGGTTTAATACTCTTGTTAGGCTGCTGGACATGGGTTTCATACTCTTGTTGGGCTGCTGGACATGGGTTTCATACTCTTGTTAGGATGCTGGGCATGGGTTTCATACTCTTGTTAGGCTGCTGGGCATGGGTTTCATACTCCTTGTTAGGCTGCTGGGCATGGGTTTCATTCTCTTGTTAGGCTGCTGGACATGGGTTTCAAAATAGCAGTATGGTTGTCAGACCTCCTGAACAACTCTAGAATCTCCCCACAATGGTATCAGTGATAGCAGTAGCACAGCAGTGATTTGATCAAAGTAGCTGACAGTTTGTAACAGGCTCCCAGTGGAGCTATACTTGCTGTTTGAAGGTTGGCAGAGCAGCGAAGGTGCAGGGTGTGGGTCCCACCGGCGGATGATCCGTGGAGAGTGAGGAGACTCTGTCTGGTTTGCAGGGTTCAATTGTCAGCAGGCGTTCAGAGGCAATTGTTGAACGCCATGCTGATAGAGCTGGGGCTTTAAATAGCCCCAGGAGGTGGGAGGAGACGCCGGCCGGAACATGTGACTTCCGCGTTCCAGCGTGGAACGCACGCCGCTCGCGTCACAACCCGGAAGTCGATCGGCGTCTGCGTTCCACAGTGGAACGCGGAGCAGCCGACATGCAAGCCAGCAGGACCGAGGCGGCCCGGCCCTGAGGGAAATCATCACAGGATACCGGGTTCAGTCAAATCTTCCATGTGCCTGTAGTGGAACGGTGTATCCCGGCCAACTGGTTATGGGCAAACATTAGGCTAACATTTAGACTAGGGGTAGACAAATTGATATGGAATTCAGGAGCCAGTCTGTCCGATCCAGGAGCCAGCTGGATTTTTAGGAGCCATCTCCATTGACAACAACTAAGGAAATCCTTAAAAGTTAGGTGTCGGGCTTGAATTTGGAGACCTTTTTATTCCAGCTTGCATAGAGCTGTTTCAGACTATTTAGCCAATCATCAGTGCAGGGTATGGAGACTGTGAGGATGATTTATTAAGGAGTTGAGAGTAAATTGCGTAACTTTCACTTCAATTTTGCAAACATGTAAAATGGAAATTTTACATGTTTGTTTACAATTTTACAAACGGAAATTCTCATTTTTTTGTGCTTTTTATTTAATCTGCACATGAGTATTCAATGTAAACACATCTAAAGCTTAACCCTTGCAGTGGGGCTACCCCTGCACTGCAAGGGTCAAGTGCTCGATTTGGTCTAGGGTATTAAATTAAAAAAATATATACTTGATCTTCAGTCCCGCCTGGCTGCTAGACCAATCCCAAACAGCCTCTTCTCCCCTGGACTTCGGCGGTCTAAAGATCCATGAGTCATCACGTCTAATAAAGTGTATTAGATGTGAGGACGTAGAGGGGCATACTACCACTGGAGCAGAGGAGAAGAGAGTTAAGAGGTCACTGCTGCACGATCAAGGATTAGGTGAGTATATCTTTGTTATTTTAGTCCCTAGATGAAAATGATCACTTACCCTTGCAGTGCAGGGGTAGCCCCACTACAAGGGTCAAGTTTTCATATGCCCATAGTTCTTCTTTAATGTACGGTGTTGAGTTTTTGGTCCTTTTGTCACACCTGAGCTGTTTAGTAAACCTTGTAACTGCAAGAGGAAATGTTATCCAGGACACCAGGGGAGCCTGCTGCTGATGTACTATAGCCAATATATTTAGTTGGGGTGGAAACCTGGAGTAGGAATACTGAGACCCCAAAAAAGGCATGTACATTGGGAAAACCAACTTCTCTACCTATCCAATCGACATGATTTTTTTTTTGGAGTCGATGACTGAACAGAAGTTATGGACAGCCAGTAAACTAGTATTTTTAGAAGGAGGTCAGCAACGCAGCCCCCATATTAATTTTGCTACATGATTCCTTTAAGGGAGTGATTGATTATTAATGAAGCTTCAACGGATAATATCATTGCTTGTTACACAATGTATTCTCTTCGTACCCGGGGATCTAGTTTCAGGGATATCGCTTCTCCTGTCTGTACGGTGAGGGATTGTTGTCACATCGTATTTGCTTGATTGATTATGTCTTGGGAGGGGGGGGGGGGGGGAAAAGTCTGATGAAACAAAAGTTCTCTTAACAGGGGAACCTACTATTGTAATCTTCTTACTTTACACTAATCACGGGGCAATTCTTGCTCTGTTTAGAAACTACACATACATGTTAACCACTTCAAGACCAGGTGTTTAGACCCCCTTCCTGGCTTACTTATACTGTATAGCACAACAGTTGATTTTTAAGGAAGGATTAGGGACGAATTAGAGTCCCTGATGGGTTTTTACTGATAGGCTGATTTTATCCTACTTTCTGTCATCTCTCGCCCTCCACTCCAGTGGTCTAACGTCCGGTGAGTCATCACATCCTATACAGTGTATAGGATGTGAGAACACCAAGGAACATTTCGTCGCTGGAGCGGAGGAGGAGACAGGCTGCAGGGACCAGTCTAGCAGTCAACCAGCTCCAAGGTTCAAGTGAGTATAACTTTTTTATTGTCGTACTTAGGCAAAAACAAGGACTTAAACTTTGCAGTGGGGGGTTGTTGGAACTTCTTGCACAGCCTTACAGAGAAACACAGGCACACAGTCTGATATGCATGCTGCACATACCTTGGAAACGGAAAGGAAGCCACAGCTTTATTCTGTACCTTATTCAATACAACAGAGTGTATATACCATAGATATAACAGAACTTATAAACACTACCATCTACTGACCAAAAATATATACTGCAGGAGTTGTTGCAATAGATACAATAATGTGTATTATAACAGGGGTTTGCCCCACTGCAGAGGTTAAGAATGTTTCTGCCCAGAGCTCTTCTTTAAACATAAAGCATTTTCTGGAGAAGTCAACAGTGGAAACCCACATGTTTCTCACACTAGAGCTTCCCTTTAATAATCATACTTCGTTTGTCACTAAGCATAATACAGAGACGATTGTACTTTGTTGGGTATTATATAATAGGGGTAAGGTGCCATACCAATAAACTGTGTGTAACTCAGGGAGGATTGTGTGTATACTGTATATCTGATATGGATAATGACTAACGTGCCCAGGGGTTTGGCAGAGTTATGGGCAAGTCTTCTGCTATGAAATGAAAACCTGCCCATATCAAGCCAGCACAGCTAGAGCTAATCTCTGCTCCCGGTAGTAACTCATGTGTGCCAGTGTTGTGTTAAGCTTACATAGACATGGCAGCCTTTCAGCTTATGACAAAAGACCAGACCTTTGCAGAGTTTTAAGGATTCCATTTAAGTAACTCAAGGTCAAATGGTCTGTCAGTGCTACAATGTTGTGTTTTCTTTTCATGCAATGTAAAGCAAACCTGTCTCTATACCATACCCCAAAAAGTGGCACCCCTGCTCATATCTGTTCATCTTTCATAGTGGCCCAGGGGCTTTCTGTATAGATCTTGCAGCTTTGAAATTGGAACTCTGCCCTTGCCATTCCTGCATCTATCAATGCAGTGCAATGTTAGAAGTAGGCTTTTCGGGGGTTAGTATACCAAGCAGTGACTTTGAAAGCTGGAAGTCACAGCATCATGGGCTGATTGTGTACTTTAGTAAATAGAGGTACGTGCAAGCACCACTATCTGCTGCTTGTTGTTTGGTAGGCTTACGTAAACTCAGAGGTTTACTTTAAAGCTGAAAGGCAGATATAAAAACATCAAATAATTAAATAATGTAAAAATTGAAAACATATTTTTTAAATGCAAATTAGTAAGAATACCTAAAACAGTCTGTATATCTGCCTCTGTCTTCTGATGCTCATCATCACTCAGCTTGGCAAAAGAAGGACCAGCACTTGAAGGCAATAAGGCTGTGCAGATACTAACTGGAGGACAGAACATAGGGATGACCTTGTCTGCATGCTGCTTCTCCTTCACAGTCCAATCAGCAAACTTGGGTGTGTCCTGGTCCATCAGTAGCCTCAGTGGAGATCCCAAACCAGAGTATGTGATCTGGCTGGGGTGCCTGGACCACAAGTGTGGTTGCACATAACTGCAAACCCTTTGACGGGTTAAGCCATTCCTTATTCTGTATTTTCTGGAGTTCAGAACCATTCCCATACAGGTATTGCCTGAAATTCATATTCTGCATCCTGTTAAGTCTTCAGTGAATGGAGTCCTTTGCACACCATGGTTCCAGTGTCCCTTCTTGCCCTAGCTAACCAGAATCCACATGTAATGGATTTTTGCACAGCATGCAGTGAGTTTCTAAAGACAGTCTGTAGAGAAATATAACATTAGAGGGAATCTGCAGTGGGTTTACTGTCTCTGTAGTTGATCATAAATCTAAACATGCAAGGTTTGTTTGACAATGGGCATCACATGGTTTTCAGATGCTGTTTGATTTTATGAACTTTATTTAAAGGGTCAGTCTCAAACCTGATATTTCAGGGACATTGTTTCATTGAAACCCTACTGGTTTCTTATTTATCTTGGAAACATTGGTGACGAGACTTCTGCACTTGCGTTTGAGGTCCAACAGTCTGCTGCACCATTTGAGGGGCTCATTCATCTTGCTGAATTTTTTTTTTATAGGTTACATTAAGTGTCGAAGGCAGAGTGAAACTTCCATTACTGCAGCAGAAATCGTGAGACTTCACAGCAGTGTGGTGAAGTGTGGACATCTTTAAGCAAGTCAGTGGGTGACTCGGCCAACCAGCATTCACCCATTGATAAAAAAAACAAAAAACATTTTGAGTAGACTGACTCTTTAACTACAAAAGAGAATAGCTTTGGCAGTTCATATGTCATGCATGTTTTGCCATGAAGCTATTCCCAGCCCTCAATACACTAAAACTTAGCCAATCTAGGAGTCTGTAGGTCATTTTAAAGGATGTCTTTCTTTTAAGTGCCAGGGAACATGTGCTTCCCATTGATGCCTATAGAAAACCCTGGAAAAAGAGGCCTGCTGTAAAATATTAGGCACATTTAGATTTGATACCACTATTTGATCTCCTGGATTTGTTTAGACCTGATGCCAGGTTGCCTTCCTAACTAATTTTTTGTTTCCCTTTCTTCCAGGGTTTGTGCTTGCTCTCCTGTCTCAGCTCCCCGTGGGAAAAGTCAGCCACCAAGTCAAGGAAGGTGGAAGAAGGGCAGGTAGGGGAGAAAAGGAATCGGTAGCCATTTTTCTACAGTCAGGGGTTACCCAGCCCCCAGGATCCACATCCCCTGGACCCCAGGGGACTCCAATTCCTGGATATGATCAGATGAGCCCCAGTTTCCACTTGGAACCAGATTCCGGGGGCTCTCACAGGAGGGAGAAGCGGTGCACATGTTATACGTACAAGGACAAAGAGTGTGTGTACTACTGTCACCTGGACATCATATGGATCAATACGCCTGAGTAAGTAAAGGTACACATCTTACCTCCTCTTCACTTCTATCTGCATTTCTGAGACCAGCCCTGGGAATCTGGGGTGTAAATTATCCTTCTCTGGATATTCTGAGATCTGGAGCTTGTGTTGCTGTACTGAGATGTGCTTTATAGATTTTGTTTTCTAGGACACTCCTGAGTTGTTTCGGCATCTTTTTCTTGTGCTCCTAGTAAAGCTTTTTTATACTGTACTATAGTATTTTGGGTCCTTGGCTTTGTGAAAATGCAGTAGTAGCCTGGACATTAAGCCTGGTACTTACATTTGAATTCCCACAAAAGAAGCATTACTTTGTGTCAAGACACATGTGCAATGTTGAATGACACAGAGGCACCTGTGTAAAATATCTGTCAGTAGTTGGGATTGTCTTAAAGTGACACTAAACTCAGGAGCTGAATCTTCAAAATGCATTCAAGTACCTTTTAACTATTACCAAAAAATGTATCTTATTTGTGTATCACCTGACTCTAGATCCTCAAATCATCTCTGAATTGGTGCCGACACTGTGTCCTTCTTCCTTCTGGAGGGTGGCTACGTTTGTTCCCCATGGTCCCCCATGGTCCCCCCACGGTCCCTGTGTGTAATGTAAAGTAGCGAGGGCTCCAAGCTCACTCCTCTAAATAAACTATAACTTCAATAGAAATTGGTAAAACTAAACATGAGATTGTAGTCCATCACAGGTAAATAATCCGGCAGTTTATTTACATAGGTAGGGAGAATATTATAGGGACATTTCTCTTATTGTAAAAGAAAAAGTCTAATGATAAGTTCTCTTTACATGTTGAAGGGAATTACCCTTTCAATAAAATTTTGGACTTTTCTGCTGTTCTACGGATCACTGGACAAATGAAATGATTCCAGAAAGAGCCACTACATTCTAACAAAACCATTGCAATGTGTTCTGAAAATTCTAGGCTCTCCAATTCCAAAACATTTAGGGGGTTATTCACTCAGTTGCCGAAGGCAGCCGAATGAATAACCGAGCCGAAGTAAAGTAAGCCACAGCCTGTTCGGCTATTCACAGCAGCTCTATACGGCTATTTCCCATAACGTCTTCCAGGACAGCATCACGAGATGGAATCTCCTCATGCTGTCCTGGAAGACTAATGGAAATAGAGTTACCGGTAAGTCCTAACTCTGAATTTTTAGCTGTACATCGGTTGCATTTGGCTCACTTCACTTCCGTTTGGTTCAGCTGAACAGTCTCCGTACGTTCGGCTGAACTGAAGGGAAGAACTAGTTCGACTCAGCCGATGCAACATCTGGATCAGCTGAGGTGAACGTTCGGCAGTTCATTCACTGCTGTTTACCCCTATTCTCATAGGGGCTGAACAGCAGAGGGTGTATAACCAAACTGTCAGCTCAGCATTCGGCTCGGTCATTCTGTTTTTGCTACTTCAGAGGTAAAAAAAAAGAAAACGGCACAGGGTCCCCTGACAATTCATACCAGACCCTTTAGATCTGGGAGAAATATTAGGAGGGACCCTAACCCAAAAAACTAAAAAAAAAAAACAGACCCTAAATCTAAGCAGTATGCTGGCAGGGCAGGAAAGGGGGGGACAAGCGAACGACCCTCCCTCTCTGCACCATATCGGGCCACACGCTCTCGACCCCCTGGAAAAGCACCTTGTTCCTGTGCCACTGAGGACAAGGGCCTCTTCCCCACAACCCTGGTCCAGTGGTTGTGGGTGTCTGTGGGCAAGGGGGCTTATTTTGCACTGGGTTGCGATACACAACACGCGGCTGTTTTAGGAAACCACACGATCCGCCCAGCACAACTGGGGTGCCATTAGAAAACAATGGCACCCATATCGCGATCGGTTCAAACCTTGCGACTCCTGACCGCGGCGCGGCAATGCGTGCGAAATCGTGCAAGATTGACGCACGGTGAGGTGTCGCCTAGGTGTGTACCGGCCCTCAAGAGATTAGCAAGAGCCTGAAAAGGAGGGTTCTCCAAAAGCAATGTTACAGCCTTGTGTCAAAAATCTTTGACTTAAAAAGTTTGTGGATTACTCAGTAACATAACAAAATTTTACATGTTAAATGCATATTTCTATATGCGTAATTTTTTCTTAGGGCTGTTGGTGGTGCGTCTTATTTAGCACTGTATTTTGGAGGTTCTTATATTCCATTCATCACTACGGCTTAATCTGATGAACAATTTGTAACGATACAAGTGTTTAACCAATAACCAGGTCCACATCTGCTGTATTTCTCTTATTACATTTGTGCCCTTTGATGTCATTTCATATTTTGATGGCACTCGGCTATTTTAGTTCTAGCTGGTAGAAATCATCATTGATAAAGGGATTGTGACTGCTCCAGTCATTGAAAAATACCTTACCATGCGACTAATAGTGGATGTCTAAAGGGGTTAAAGGTATAAACAGAAGCAAAAACATTTGTTGAATAATATGAATAGATTATATAGTAAATAAACATTCTCTGGGAGGAAAAGCTAAAAAAAAAAAAACTAAGCAAGAAAATATTATCTGATTGTTCCCAGTGTCTACATTGTCGCAACTGTTTTCAATACAAACAAGGCAGAAACAACTGGAAAACCAGCAAGATATCTTGTAAATATTTTGTGGCAAACTCTAAATAATCCGTGCAACTACCATTTGTAAATGCATTTCCTGGTGGTGCTTAGCTTCTGGAGACACGATTTGTATTTTTTTTTTAGCTTGTGGTGACTTTCTGCTGTGACAGGCACATGTTCTGTTAGGCGACAGTGGCAATGATGTGCAAAGTGCAGCTATGCAATGATGTCAGATTGGTTGGTATAGGTTACTGTGCTTTACCTTATGTGCATGTATTCCTTTTTTAAATTGGAGCCTGCAGAGCATTACAGCAATGAACAGGCTTCTGCAGACTTTTCCTCTCCCAGCCCCAAGTCTGTACAGAGGTATGGCCTTTCCATAACTGGGCAAGAGAAAGTATAATCAATGGGCTACAGGTGCAGTGTCATCTCCACTTGTGCTTCCATTGAGATCTAAGGGTCGCTCTGCCATAGTGGCAGATGAGACTTGTCACAGAGCCCTGTAAATGGATGACGTGGCTGTTTTGGGGGTCGGCGGGTGGTTATGAATTATGACCATGTTTTATGCTATACCCTTTATGTGCATGTTCACAGATGACAGATTATGCTTTTAGCAGAGTAAGTAATATCTGTAACCGGGGCCGCTCCCACTTAGTTCACCACCTGAGGTGGCCAGGAGAAGGGGGGAGTGGTAGCCTGCCAAGCTAAAAAAAAGTGCACGAACACGCGTTTGTGTCCGTTCCCACATTGCATAGTGTGAACGGGGACCGAATGTTATCTGCAACAATAGCAGTGCTATAGAATATGTTAGTTGCTTCTTTGGAGAGCACCCCAGTGGACTGAAATCATGACTCAGAATTCATAACTCTGAATGGTCCCTCATTTGGAGCAACTGTCCTTCTTTTGAAAACAACTCTTTTTTTTCTTTTGGTCTTATGTATAGACTTCTATTAAAAAAAACAAAAACAAACACACTACTAAAAGTTTTATACCACATGTAACCTTTCATCCAGCCTCTAAATTATTGCATAGCGGCAAAAAAAGTGCACTTTTTAGAAAAAGTCTAATGATAAGTTCTCTTTACATGTTGAAGGGAATTACCCTTTCAATAAAATTTGAAAGGCCATTCCAAGACATTTAAATGTTTCCCCTTAAACCACTTGAGTGTCCTGCTGGAAGGTGAACCTCTGTCCCAGTCTCAAATCTCTGGCAGACTGAAACAGGTTTCCCTGTTTTTAGCGCCATCCATCATTCCTTCAATTCTGTTTGCCAGTCTTTGCCGATGGAAAAACATCCCCACAGCATGATGCTGCCACCACCATGCTTCACTGTAGGGATGGTGTTCCTGGGGTGATGAGAGGTCTTGGGTTTGTGCCAGACATAACGTTTTCCTTGAAGGCCAAAAAAGCTCAATTTTAGTCTCATCTGACCAGAGAATCTTCTTGCATACGTTTGGGGAGTCTCCCACATGCCTTTTGGCGAACAGCAAATGTGTTTGCTTATTTTTTTCTGTAAGCAATGGCTTTTTTTTTCTGGACACTCTTCCATGTGGAGTATGCAGCTTAATGTGGTCCCACGGACAGATACTCCAATCTCCGCTGAATTTTGGAGGGCGGCCCTCTCTTGGCAGATTTTGTTGTGGTGCCATATTCTTCCCATTTTTGTAATAATGGATTTAATTGTGCTCCGTGGGATGTTTTAAAGTTTCGTATATTTTTTTATAACCCAACCCTGATCTGTACTTCTCCACAACTTATTCCCTGACCTGTTTGGAGAGCTTTTGGTCTTCATGGTGCCGCTTGCTTTTTGGTGCCCCTTGCTCAGTGGTGTTGCAGACTCTGGGGCCTTTCAGAACATATGCACACACCACTTTTCCGTATTTTATCCATATTGATTTTATAATTTTTTTTTAAAACAAGTTATTTTCTTGATTTCACCACCATTTTAGACTATTTTGTGTATGTCTATTACATGTAACCCAAATAAAAATCAATTTTAATTCCAGGTGGTAATGCAACAAAATAGGAAAAATGCCAATGGCGGTGAATACTTTCCAAGCCACTGTACACACTGTAGAAATCCACTCAAGGGATAGAAAAAAATTTCAATTTTGTTTAGATAAAGCTGGAAAATGGTAAAATGTATAGTATTCGGGTCACAAGCAGCTGTAAATAATTTAAGAGCTAAATTGTATCTCGGGGAATGAAACCTTCCCATCCTGTTGGAAACGGTGAACAGACCTTTCCGGCTTTGCATTTTATTTTTGGATTATATTGCTAGTTTGTTCAGTGGCTCCCAAAATGGGGAAACTTTAGCAGACGCAGAGAGCTAGTATTCTATAGCACTGCTGTATTCATTTGTACTGTATGTGTACTACTGTATTCGTATGCATAGGTACTGCTGTGAAAACATGCGTGTCCAAATATTTGTTAA